GCTGAGCGGCGGCAGCGAGCGGCGGTGCCGGGCGCGGTTGGCGGCGCGGGGGGCGCGGCGGCCGCTGCCGCGGTGCTGGTGCCGCTGTGCTCGGTGCGCGGCCGCCCCGCGCTGCTCTTCACGCTCCGCTCCCGCCGCCTCGGCGGCCCCCACAGCGGCGACGTCAGGTACCGGCGGGGGGAGCGGGCGCCGGGGCCGGGCCGGCCCTGACCCCACCCCGATCCCTCCCGCAGCTTCCCCGGCGGGCGGCGGGACCCGGCGGACGCGGACGCGGTGGCCACGGCGCTGCGGGAGACGCGGGAGGAGCTGGGGGTGGCGGTGGCAGCAGCCAGCGTGTGGGGACAGCTGCGGACCCTGCCCGACCGGGTACCGGGCACCGGGGGCGCGGGGGCGGGACAAGGGCGCGGGGAGGGGGGGCAAGGACACAAGGGCACAGGGCAGGAAAGCGGTGAAGGCGTCACGGGTGACAGGTTATGGGTGATGGGTTCGAGGTGACGGGGACAAGGGTTATGGGTGACAGGGACATGGGGGACGGGAACACGGCAGCAGGGACACAGAGGAGGGCTTCCAAGTGACAGGGACAAAGCAGCAGGGACACGGGTGACAGGGTCCTGGGTGATGGGTTTGAGGTGACAGGGACGGGAGTTTCCGTGTGATAGGGGTTTGGGGTGACAGAGACAAGGCAGCAGGGACACAGGTGACAGCAGTTACAGGTGACAGGGACAGGCAGCTGGGTCACGTCTGATAGGGGACTTGGGTTAACAGAGACATGGGTGATCGGTTCAGGATGACAGGGACAAGGCAGCAGGGACATGGGTAATGGGTTTGGTGTGACAGGGATGCAAGTGACAGGGCTTACAGGTCATAGGGACAAGTCAGCAGGGACACAGGTGACAGGAGTTATGGGGATTTAGGGTGACAGGGACACAGGGCAGTGGCTGCAGGTGAAGGGGGGGTTTTGGGTGACACACACATGGTGGGGGCCTGGGTTGGGTGCAGGGGGGTCAAGGCACATGGGTGGCACTTTGGAGAGGGGGTTGTCACCCTATCCCTCGCTGACACACCTTCCAGAAAGGAATGACCATAGCGCCCGTCGTGGCCAACCTGGGGCCGCTGGAGGCCTTGACACTGACCCCCAACCCCGACGAGGTGGGTGACCCCTCCCCGGGGCCTGCAGCCCTTTACTGGTGTCACTGGGTGTGTCACCACGGTGACCCCCTCACCTGTGCCGGCAGGTGGAGGAGGTGTTCACCCTGCCCCTGGCTCACCTGCTGCAGGAGGAGAACCAGGGCTACACCCACTTCCGCACGGCCACCGGCTACGGGTACACCCTGCCCGTGTTCCTGAACGGCCCCCACAGGGTGTGGGGGCTCACGGCCATCATCACCGAGCTCACCCTGGAGCTGCTGCTGCCCGGCCGCTACTGCAGGAAGACCCACGTGCCACCCCGGAAACCCGTGGCCTGAGGGAGGAGGGGACAGGGGGCGGCTCTGGGGCACCGAAGCCACCGGTGATGTTGCACACTGTGATTCAGTAAAAGCCATGTTTGGAACTGCCCCGGGGCTCCGAGTCATGGAGCGTGGCCAGGACAGCTGTCCCCTGGCACTGGTACAGCAGGAGGTGTCCTGGGGACACCGTGGTAGGGACAGGGAGCACGGACAAAGAGCTGTGTCCATGTGATCCCCCCACAGCCACTGCCTCTGCCCAGTCCCAGACAGGGGCTGTGGAGCCTCACAGAAAGCTGGGATCTCCCCTCTGGGGTACCCAGACCCCACAACCCCTGGGGATCCCCTGCTCCCGGGAGGCAGGACCCAAAGCCCCCCCCATCAATCCCTTCCCACCATTTAATGTCCACCACAGAGCCCACGAGTGCAGCAGCGTTTATTGAGGCCCCTCCACAGAACCCTCCCAAAGTGCTGCCAGAACCCCAGAACCCCCTGAACCCCCTTCCAGGCAGGAAAAGGAACAGGTGGTCCTGCATCCTTACGCTGACGCCGCTCGGGCTTTGGCCTCCCCGAAGCGCCGCATCCTCTCCTCCAGCTCGGGGCGGAAGTGCCGGATGAGGCCCTGCAGGAGCAAAGGAGCCGGTTACCGGGGCGGGGAGAGGTTGGTGGCCTCCCCCAGGACCCCCCCAGGCCCCCACCTGCACAGGCCAGGCGGCGCCGTCGCCCAGGGCGCAGATGGTGTGCCCCTCGATCTGTTTGCTGATCTCCCAGAGCGCGTCGATCTCGGCCGCCTGCGCGTCGCCCCGCACGAACCGCGCCATCACCTTGTTCATCCAGTCCACGCCTGCGGGGTGGGGAGGGGTCAGGGCTCCGTGCTGTGCAACCCCTCGCCCCGCAGCCTTCCCCCGGCCTCACCTTCCCGGCACGGGGTGCACTGCCCGCAGCTCTCGTGCTTGTAGAACTCGATGAGGCGGGCGATGGCCTTGACGATGTCGGTCTGGGGGGTGGGAGAGGAGGGTGAGGCGAGGGAGGGGAGGGTGAGGGGATGGGGGGGCTGGGCAGGGGGCTGGTCCCTTACGGATTTATCCATGACGATGACGGCGGCTGTGCCCAGCCCGCTCTGCGCCTGCACCAGGGAATCGAAGTCCATCAGCACCGTCTCACACACCGACTTGGGCAGCAGCGGCGTGGAGGAGCCCCCCGGGATCACAGCCAGCAGGTTGTCCCAGCCACCGCGGACCCCCCC